TCCGCTGCAGGCGCTGGGCTGGCGTTCAGGCTTGACCTGCTGCGGTTCGGTTCACCCGCCTCAGCCTGCCCAGACAGTGCCGTGTGCGCGATGGGCTTCAGCCTGAAATTCAGCCGTAACAGTACCGATATTCAGCGGGTTTTACGGTTTGTGCGAGACCGCCTTCGTTTTATCTAACGAAGCGAGTTTTAAGCAATGGAGAGGACGAGGTTTCGAGGTGGAAGGCTCCACCGTAGCGTAACACGAGGCCTACCGTGGCTGCAGATGCGGCCATTCTGAATCCCTTGCAACCCTGTCCTCCCTTGTGAAGACACTCCGTGTCTGGTGTCCACCAAGTTTCAACTCTTGATAATGCTTGCAATTCCCTGAAATGTCCGTTTTTATCTGAGAAAGCACCTGAATGCAATTGAAATTAATTTTGATTGCTAAAATCAAAAGTGAAGCCGGGTATTGGAGAGCTAAAATGTACCACTGGATGAAATCACCGTCTATTTTTTCCTGCTTTGCTATGATGCAGTTTTAAGTACATTTATGACAAATGCATCTGATGACAAGTAACTGGTCACAAATTCCTTTTTTTCTTCTCTCCAATGAATTAAATACAAACTTCAGCACATACAAGATGATATTACTCTAATTTTATAACTGACTCACAAAAGAAACGGGTACACTTCAGCTACTGAAAGTCTCTCTCCATCCTTCCGATCGTGATTGTACTTAGAGAATTTGAGATTGAGAAATCCTGACCTAATGTACAAAATAACTTCTAATAGCTGGAAAACGTTTTAAATCACTTCAATTGCAGGTTATAGAAATGACCACCTTGAAGAGGCATGTCATGTAATCAAGGTTGACAAAATGAAACATCTCCTGTAATTCTGAAACTTTTTTGGCAGATGAGGAAAAGGGGTTTAAAACTTTTGTTATATACTCTTCAGGATTTGATTTTGATTTATCTATAGCGTAACTCTGAAATGGGTTGTGGAATTATCTGGCAGAAAATAATACCATTTTGTGTTGAAGACAGAACAATGTTTCCCTAAATTAAGATGAAATCAGCAACTTCAAGGAATGATACATTGTCAAAATGTAAGCCACTTGATTTTATAGACCTTTCACATTTTTAAGTAATCCTAGTGTGATTTCACTTCTGCCTCAAAAAATAGCAAGGCAACAGCTCACTACTGAGTTGTCTTTTTTGCAATATAAACAGTGTCACAGCATCACTTCCTTGGGAATTTTTTAAACCTATATTAACCAGCCCATGTGAAAACTGGAATTGTGTTTGTCTATGCTGATACAGACTAAAACCATAATGAAAACATGGGCAAAGTCACTGGAAAACAGAGGTGTGCTGTTCTCGCCGAGTGGACTCTTGACAGCTTCTCTCGACACTGGAGAAACTGATGACATAACCAATAGATCAAATTCTCTGCAAACACTTCATGTACATGCTTAAGACAAATATGGATCCCAGACTCACTCAACAGCTCTGCCTAACCTTGTGCCTAAGAAGGCTGCAAGACTTGCTTGAGAGAACATAAAATGCAGACAGGTAAATCTGCGGTGGTTTTATTGATGCAAGACTGGAACAAGCATCGTGTAAACCTACTTCCTAAACAATCTGCCTAAATAAAGAAAAGTTAGCGGCATAAACCATGCTAACCGGAAGATGTCACTGGCATCAATAGACTTGAAGTATAAGCTGAGTTTTGCTAAGAGCAGGTTGTTGAACCATTTGGATTTCTCATACCTTGTACCTGCTTCCTTTATGTATTTCAGCACACACCTGGTGCAGAAATGCTTCCTGCAGCTCATTCTGCCAGTGCCTCCCTGAATTTTTGTTT